AGCTTTGAAGGAGATCGAAGTTTGATTTCTCTCCACAAAATTACAACTAGCCAATATGCTGACCAAAGCTCTTCCTAAGCTGAAGTTTGATCAACATAGACATTATCTTGATCTATAAAGTCTGGCAATGCCACATGAAGAATCTCTTTTGATTAGTAAATGATAAAGAATTATACGTAGAGAAGTAGTTTTAGATCCTACATTATGCACTCTAGAGTAAGGGAGTATGTTAGAATAAGTTAGATCCTAAAGATACTCTTAGAGTGCTAATATTGAAGAAGACTTGACAACTGTATCGGTGTCCAAAGAAGTGGACTCAGCTTATCAATTATCCATTACACTACCATTATAGATTACTGTTGTAGACTAAACTACACTATATGTACAAGCATTTTTACAACTCAAAACAATCTGACTGATCACAAATAAGCGATTCCAACAAGATTTTTGACAACGTTGTTCAAAATCTTGCGAGAGCAAAAATGACAAAGACAGATGGTGCAGTCATGATCACGTCTAGGATGTCCAAAGCCCAAGCCAAAGAAGCAACTCCTATTTTACTTTGGCCTTGTCAACTTTGTCTAGCACTCAACCTTCTCCTGATGTTGAGAAGACAGAAAAATGAAGATTGAATGACAAAATTACCGAGCTACGAGGTCTACAGATTCAGCTGATTTCATGCAAGAATTTGAGAGAAAAAATTTTGGCCATACAGACCAGCAGACAATGAAGAATGCATTTAATGGCACTTAACAAACCAGAATATATGTAAAACCAGCTATTGCTCTAGCGTGCAAGGTGCTTGACGAGAGAAGCCTATATGTATTGAAGTGTCTGATTGACATTGGTCAAGATCATTTGTTAGATGTTAAAGGTTGGGAGTGTGCTTGATTCTACAAACATCCGGTATATCAAGTTCAAATGAAATTTCCGTGAAATAGATGATGAGAATAAGAAGCATGTAGTAGCGATTTGTGATTGCAGAGGTTCACTAAAGCTCACATCATATGTATAAAGTAACAAGATTTGGAACTTCGGGTCCCATGGGGTAAAATGAAACTTCATAGGTACTATCAAACAATTTAGGTTTTGATGGGGTCCCATCAAGTAAATATTACAACATATCATTTATGATGCGTAATACATGTTCTAATATCAACCAACGATCATTTTGAAAATAGAGAATGGTGTTTAGATAGAAGGCACCGAGACAAAATTAAGAACTAGCAGGAGAGGGGCTGAGGGGAGTTCGCGGATCGTTCCAACAGGTTCGATAGTTTGGATCTCGTTCTATCTTACCTTTCATTCATATACACATTCATATGCAAATTGCAATGACCCCCTGTTCATTCTTCAATTTTTGGTAGAGCTTGTTGATATATCTCAACTGTCCTCAAGATATCTTGTATGGATTCTTTGACTTACGCGTTAACAGAGTAGAGAGAGTGATTTAAAGTATATACGCTTGCTGACATTGATTCGCCGAACCTTAAATGATGTGCAAACCTTTTAGGACGAAACATAATTTTCACAAAACTCATTTCATGGTGCATCCATGGTGACCGTACATGAGAACGATGCACGGTAAACTAATCACGCTCTTAATGGTATAGGCTGTAAAATTTTGGAACCTTCAAATCATCTATTATCTTCACGGAGTACATGAGACCCTAACAGAGGTCAACTACTAACCATAGACTAACATAGCATAACGACTAATTCCGAACGACCTTATGTCAACAAGTCATCGATAAATCCATGATGTCTTCGACTTCACATCAGTCTCAGAGTTGGGCAATTCTCCTGCAGATGTCGCCCGGATCTGCCACTAGCTGGCATGGGGGCAGCAAATCAGATCTATTGGACTTGTCACATGTAGATATGTTAATGAAGAATTACATCTCATTGAAAGAGTTCCGTATGAGCTTTCTTGATGATACCAATGTCCCCACAATCGAATCATACATTCCAAAAGTGTAATATCAACTGATACACTATCAGTTGTACTGCCTATATGGAATGACAGTTAATACTGCTTTGGCAAAACTTGCAGCCAAGTTGAAACTTTCAAGCCATACCTCCCCACACTATACCCCATATTATATAGTTACAATAATTGGAACTTGGTTTTTGGCTAAAATAATTACCATTGGTAAAATGATATGTGATGGGTACCAGTAAGCTATTTTGTTTTCCGGAGGGTCCCATCAAATAATTTTTTTTTCATTTCATTTTTCTCATAGTTTTGAAAACTACACATTGAAAGACTTAAAGTCATTATATGTTTACATAACCTGAAAGTTCGTATACAACACATGGCTTCGAAGTAGGATCAATTGGAGCAAAATACATATCTACAATCAAAGTGATATGATCTTGTTATAAATAGAATAACAGATGATCATCAAGAGATCAGATATATTCAAACGAGTTTTTCTCCATATTTAAGAAAAAATCACAATTTTTTTAAGAAGAAATATGCTCGTGTAATTTTCTATACTAAAAATAGTATGGCAGATCTGAATTGTTGTAATTACCCTCTTAAAAATTTGTTTCGTATAAATAAAGGGATTTTGATTTATGAAGTTTTGTCACATATGAGGTGGCTTGTATGCTAAACCCTGAACCCTAAATCTCTTATTAAAGCGGTTCAAATGGTTGGAATCAGGGATTAAAATTTAGTCAACTTCATAACATACTTGAACACAAATTTCTCTTAATCATTGATCATAAAATAGTATAATAATGGTTTCAAATCTTATAAAAAGAAGAGTGTTAGAATATTTTATCTATTCAAATGTTTACAACAAAAAGTTGGACCGCTCCCAAATTTGAAGGGCAAAAGAGTATGTACCATGTTAGCTTAGGGTGCAGCAGCCTTCCAACTTGGGAAACGTTTATGGTCAAGCGGTACCCTCATTCATACAATCGTTTACTAACATCTACGGCTTGCACCTGCCGGAAGATAACAATATGTCGATAGTGGAAGCACTGGCAACGATGGTTGGATAGAAAGTGCATTCCTTTTTGCAATCACAATGTGACGTCACTGAATCATTCAGATCATTTGAACGTGTACAATATGTTGTTTGAGACTCTTCTCTGTCATGAACATGTGGGAAAAACGATGAGAAAGTGGTCGCCTTTTTTGCAGCTCATATTCGAAAGAGCGTACCGTATAATCAAGTAAAGTCAAGTCAACTGGCTGATGGAAGAGCCTCAGAAGGAGAGGAGAGAAGAAGTGATAGGTGTCTCTCGAGTGAGGGTAAGCTGCGGTCTGTCAGGAGAGGCTTGACCTCGCTCAGAATAGAGCCGCCCCATGTGACCAATATCACACGTTGATATAACCTTTATAGATACGGTACTCCTTTTGCCATAGTCGAAAGTTAGAGATGGAATGATAGTCTGAACTATATAAAAGTCACTTGATCAGAACTTCCTTTACCTACTTCAACTTCCTGATAAGCTTCTAAGCAAACTGCAAAACGACTATATCATAGTTCGATTTAACAAAATACACGCTCGCAATAATGTCAAATACATCAGATACGCAGTGATACGTGTGAGAACCTTTGTAGATTGCAGGCTTGAACAACCCCGGCCGTATGCACGTGGGCTGACGGCATGCGGTCACCGTCGTGACGGTCTCTCCTTTGTCACCATCGCGTGAAGAATTCACCCTCTAGAAGCCGTTCGATGCATTTATTCAACATGACATTCGATTCTCTCCGCGCTGTACCGTTCTCTCCGCTGGCTGCTCGTTAGCTGCTTTGTCGATCAGAAGGTTTAGGGTTCACAGGATTAGAATTCATGCAGCCGGCTAGTGGGATCATTCCTCAGAGACGGCAGTGACTTCTGATAAGGATTCCACCGAATAATGAGGAAAATAAGCACCAGCCCTCCGATCTGAGACTTAGACATTAACGAGTATTATGCAATCACATCTCGAAGTCAACTCGTCCCGTTCATAAACGCGATTAGATCGTGTTCAGGCCTAGCCGCCTACAGCTCCGTACCTAACATTGTGCTCGAAGTGTTTGAGCTTTACAGGACGAAAATCCGTCTTATCACGTTCTGGTATAATATCACGGCCGCGACAATATCTCTCGGTTATGAAGATCCCAACAATAACTCCGGCAGTTACACAGCAGATTTGCCGTCAAGACATGGGAAAACACGTTCATCCTGGAGTCGTAAAATCCCTTTCTTTCAAAAGCACTTGATCCTTGTTTCGTTTGGTGGGATGGTGCTCCGATGATGGAGCGTTCCAAAAACTTGCACAAGCCGCTTCTGTGTCCCGCACACGGTATTCTTTAGTAAAAGGCGAAAGAATAGTTCGCTCTGGGCTGAACACACGGCAGACATGTTCGTCTATGGAAGACACAAGATTATGAGCCCCGCATGAAGACTCTTGTCGCACACACCGTATGGGTTTAGCATGATCCGCAATGCCCATCGCCAATGTGTTCATAAAAATGCGAGACGAAAAGTCCAGCCTGTCTCGTCTTGGGCGCGAAACCACCGGGTGACGGTGACACCCGAACGGTTTACGTATACCATCAGCCCGGATAGTATACGGTCGGGGTTGATCTAGCCTGCAGTCTAATGGCGTGTATTGACCAGACACCTATCGTGCCACAAGCAAGCTACTTTGACCTTCTGAGATAGCTGTAAAATGTCAATCCTAGAGTTCCAGTCAACATATTACACATTCGTAATGATGTAGAATATATCCGAATTTGCAGGATCAGAATGTGATTACCAGATGCAGATACCTTACTGTGAGAGAGGTGCTATATTAGCGGGAAGAAAAACCATTTTGATAATCCACATCTCGACAAGGAGAGCAAATGAACCCGGTTCTGTGGTCTCGAGTTGTACATCAGACGATGTGAAGTCCAGCACTTGCACTCCTGAATTGTGCAAACTTGACAGTCACCCTACGAAATAGAAAATATTAATATGTTCCGGAATTGCACATAAGATTGAAACCATAAGTGGAATTGGATATTTAGATTTTTATTTAGATTCAAAATTCGAAACCCACTGGAGTTCGTACAAGCTCCCTGCGAGTTTCAGCACTCTTCTTTGGGGAGTGTCACATGAATATGCTAAATTGTAAGTTGGGCAATCTCCCTTTGTACAACAACCCTCGTCTGCGAAGGTTGGGAGACTCCACCAACGCCAAATGCACGCGTAGCTAGTCCGGTATTCATTGGCAAGATGAGTAATATCGAAGCAGTGAGTTATCGTGATCTAGACTGAAGTCAGGATGGTGAGACTCTGATAATGAATGTTTAGGAGACGTGGGAAACGGAAACTACTCGTTTCACTTATACTCCACACAAAGGAATATTATACACAGAGGGACAAACTCGGAGTCTACGAGTTGATTGATCTGAGTCGTGCTATGGATGTTTTCTTCTGCAGATCACCGGGCAAATCATCCTTCGGGAGCTCCACGTCAGTCATGTCCCCGGGAAGAATCGAGTCATGCTCTTGCATCCAGTCGAAGGTCTGGACCATGCGGGCGACCATCATCTGCAGCTCCATCATCGCCAATTTGGCCGCCGGACAGATTCTCCTGCCAGCACCGAAGGGGATCAACCTCAGATCTCGAGTACCAGATCCCAAGACCTCGACGTCAGTCTCGAGAAATCGTTCGGGCTTGAAGCCCAGGGGCTCATCTGGCCACAAAGTGGGATCGAGGTGGAACGAGCGGATCTGAAAGTAGATGACGGCGTTGGTCGGGATGTCGTAGCCCCCGAGCTGGCACAGCTCGGATGTGGCATGGGCGATGGTCACGGGACTCGGAGCAATCAGGCGCAGCGTCTCCTTCACCACGGCGGCGAGGTAGGGCAGGTTCGGAATGTCGGACTCCTCGACTGGCCGAGCATCGTCGCCCAACTTCTCTCGGATCTCATCGCGCAGCTTGGCCTGCACCTGCGGGTGCTGGCTCAGGATGTGCATGGCGTTCTCTGCAGCCAAGGAGACGGTGTGACTCCCAGAGACGATGAGCTCCACGAGGAGAGCAACGATTGTCGCGTCGCTCAGGAAGTCTCGGCCCTCGGTCTCTTGCAGGTCCAGAAGGTTGTGCAAGTAGCTGCCGGGATTGACCACGATGCCATTCTCGTCACGCCCTCGAGCTCGGATGTCTCGCACTTTGTGGATCACGGGCATGAGGATTTCCTCGCACTCCTGCTTGATGCTGCGGAAATACTGCCGGCTCTTGCGCTCGAAGATTTTCAGCGCCGGCACGTAATCTCCGAAGTAGAATTGGAAGGTTTTGTTCAGCCTTATCATGAGAATATCATCCAGGCGTTGCATCGTCTTGCTTTCCAGCTCGATTCCCAGCGACATCACCAGCGCGAACTTGACCTTGCACGGGCGGACGATGGACGAGACTTTCAGCCGCCTCACGCCGCCGGTGGCCGTAGTGGCCGCCACCATGAGGCTCATGATTTCTGCCACAGTCGAGTCGCGCTGCGGCTTAAGGGCTCTCTCGGTGGCCGCACCGAGCACGCCCGCCGCGAGCACTCTGCGGATGAGTTTGGTGTAGTCTCCGTCCGAGGAGCTGACCAGCTTGAAGCCATTGCTCATGTCGATCTGAGACGAGAGTCTGCATCGGTTATTGAACTGCGCGCCTCGTCTGACCATGGCCTCAAACGCGAGTTCCGGGTCGTTGACGATGATCAGAGGCCTCTTGCCGATCCAGATTGTCATTATCTTGCCGTATTTCTTCTGCAGCTCTGTCGACCCGCTCAGAACGTCGGCCACGAGGAGTGGCAGCTGCGGAATGCATCCCAGCACGGGCCATGGGGTCGGCCCTGGGGGCAGCCTCTTGCTCGGCAGCCAAGTCGAGTGCCACCAGTGTAACAAAATGGACACAGCAAGTCCCATCAGGGTGAACAGCGCCATCATCTGATCCATTGAGGTGGTGAGATTCGCTTACTCCTCGGACTTCAGACTTCCACTAATGTTTGAAACAGTAGAGTCCCACTCGAACTGATACAAACGTTATGATGGACGAACCTCGAAAGCTCAAACCAGCAAGAGATGATAAAGCCTTGCTGCAGTGCGCACACGGTGTCCAAAATCAGAACTTGTCCAAACTCGCTGTTACATTTCCAAATTTACGTCACAGATGAAAGTGACTGATAGTTGATTGACTTCACTCGAGCTTGCAGGTGAAAATAATCATGACTCCACGTCTAGCTCGAATTACCAGGTTTTCACAAAACACAATTGACAACAAAAAAACAACGAATGCGCAGAATGGACACTGGACGGTCAAAGTCTCATTTCTTCTTGATAATGAGAACACAGGAGATCAACGAGTCGGGTAAAAGATAAGCGCAATAGAATTTCTCCTATCTACGAGAGATATATGTTAAGTACCTGAAGAATGGACGTATGTACAACAAATACTGGAACGAGTGAGCTAGCGACGATGGGTGTTCCACACGGGCAAGCATGACCTTCAACCGAACTGTCAACTAGTTGTCGTTCTGAACGATCAATTTATGCCCAACACACTGCTGCAGCGTGAAGGAAAGGCGCGAATGAACTCTGGGAGGTCAACGCAGTGGGAGGTAGTTGGCTGTAAGAGCCAAAAGAAACCTGGCCTAGAAAGTGACTCTAGTTTTCTGCACTACTTAGGCCGCCTTAGTTCTTAGGCCTTAGGCCGCCGGAGTTCGTACAATTCATTGGCAAGCTATCTGTATCCGGTTTGAGGTCATCCTTGGTCGTTCCAGTGACGGCATCTGTTGTTCACACGTCCATTCTCCCTTCGCTTATCTTGTGTAATCATTATAGAGAAGAAATGAGCTTTTGATCGTCAGGTGTCCATTATGATCGCATTCGTCGTCTATCATGGTTTTTAACAAACAAGAAAGAGGATCCCCTTTTGAACAAATATGCTGACGTAGAGTCACATACGTAACGAAATAAGCTGTTTCGTCCGTCCTGTATTTTTTGTGAGGGAGGTTTACGGTGAGTCCGTTGACTTGTCTGACATGCTTGCTGGTTGACTTGACTGACTTGACTTGACTTGTTAGACTTAGCTACACTGCTGGCTAGAACCACCCATGAATGCAGTAGATATTTGTTTCAAAGTCAGAAGATTGGAAACCAAAACTTCGAAAATTTGCGCGTTTTCTAATCAGTATAATGACTGCGTTTTGGCAGTACTGGGATGGGGGTATGTACATTCATGCTTGGCCGACAATACAATGAATACTCATGAGCTGCAGGTAGTACACACATCGTATTCGGTGTGTTCACAATTTCTTAACCTATAACGCTGAAATTTCCCACGTGTAATTGGGAAGTTCGCAACGTACAATCGCTATTTCTTAATGTAGTAAGAAAGTAAACTTTCAAACGACAGTTTCAACCAATGAAAGAAACCTCCATCACGTTTGGGAAGTTCGCAACGTACAATCGCTATTTCTTAATGTAGTAAGAAAGTAAACTTTCAAACGACAGTTTCAACTTATGAAAGAAACCTCCATCACGTTTGGGAAGTTCGCAACGTACAATCGCTATTTCTTAATGTAGTAAGAAAGTAAACTTTCAAACGACAGTTTCAACCAATGAAAGAAACCTCCATCACGTTTGGAAAGTTCGCAACGTACAATCGCTATTTTTTAATGAAGTAAGGAAGTAAACGTTCAAACGATGCTGGGATCTACACTATTTGCGAAGTTCGTAACGTACAATCGCTATTTCTTGATGTAGTAAGGAAGTAAACGTTCAACGATGCTCGGATCTACACTAGATGCGACGTTCGTAAGGCACAATCGCTATTTTTACTGTAGCAAGGAAGTAAACGTTCAAATTATGCTCGGATCTACACTATTTGCGTAAAGGTCCTGAAGCTTTTTACCACCAGCTCCAGATCCGGAGCATCAGTTTCTCAGATCTAACAAATTCTTATTAGTCGAAGTTTAGATCCTTGACATTCAGAATATCTTTGCAAGAAGCTTTTATGATGATTTTATAATTACTTTGGACTATCTTGATATCAAGACTTTATACAAAACTTCCAAAACCTCAGGGATATCGCTCATTTGTTAGGTTTTATAAGCTAGCAGTTTGTATCAATATTTGGATGATTTATATTTTTCATTTTTATTGAATTAAAACACCAAATTTTTTTTGATATATTATAACAAATTTGTATCATTAGTCATGGATTTCTTTATTATCTATATATTCATGTAAAAATAAAATCAAAGAATTTGGAAAAAAATGCAACTATACATAAAAAAATCTCAGAGTTCAGTTTCTTTTACAACTTTTGTTTCGATTTTGGTGTAAATTCATGGTTATATACTAAATAAAATCGTTATACACACTAAATTATACAAATATAGTGATGTACCATAACATTAAAACATTCTCAATACCTTTGATAATTATATGGACTCAAATATGATATGTTCATAATAATAAATCATGGGGAATCGGCGCAAAACTTTCAGCCCCACAAAGTGTTCATTACTTACGCATTAAAGATAAGAGGGAGCCAAATATATAAGAATAAAGGATGAGATAATTCCATCAAACGTACAAAGAAGAAGCACAATACAAAATCAGGGGTTAGGTCTCAATGGTGTCACAATGTGAAATCTATCCTACAACTCCTCAGATATCTGAAGAATTAAAGTCAAATGGTGCACAAACAATAGGAACATTCGACACCAGAGATAAGTTTATCACTTCCTTTGGTTAAAATTGTGTGCAGTCTAGTGAAGCTAACACAAAACTATGACACATAACACAAAACTTATAAATTCTCTCAAGCGCTGATCAAACAGAACTGGTCCTTTTTGTTTAGGTTTCACTTTTAGTTTAAATCAGTTATTTGAAGTTATTTAAGAAGGTGGGTTTAATCACTAAAAGCAAGTCAATCTTCAATACTTTTTTTTTTACTGATGTACATATGCATTGGAGATGTTCAATTATGATATATGTGCTTGGAACGCTTGAACAGGGGCTGAGGATTTTTTGTGTTTCATTAATATCATGACACCACCAACACTTGGTTATGTTACAATATTATTATGTTTGCATAACAACTTTCCTTATATCATCTAAGTGTAATGCATATGGTAGATGTCAAAGTTAGTGAGCATCACCTCACTATTTATAAAACATATGACATAAATTAATCATTTATAACTAGAATTTTTTCTTTTGCTAAATGATCGTATTATAATATCAATCGTTAAAACCAAAGATATATTTGAATTCGAGATCTTGTCCAACACTCAAATGAAGTCAACAATATATTCTCATGTGGATATTTCATTACCAAGGGTCGCTATCGGAATAATATGGGCAAGACTTTGTTTCTACTTTTACTTTTCTCTTGTAGTATTTTCAATTCATCCCTGGAGTATCGGATTCTAACTAAGCATCACCAGTGTATACCGTGATGAACTTATCAACATTAACACAACACTGAAAAGTGAGGCACATGGATCTGTTTGTCAGCAATTGGCTCTCCTGGCAAGTTGACCAAGGTCGACCTGGTCCACAGGCATCCTATGAAATGTAGAGTGATCCATAAAAACACACAACTGCCCCTGAGCGGGTCTGACACTCCGACGAAGACTAGAATAAATGTGATAATCCTTGTCGGATGGGTCGGAGGGACCAACGACCCCAAAGGACGCGGGACACTTTCTGGAGCGACCTCTGGACCAGGCGCGACATCCGTTTCCACAGTCCCGGGCCGTTTATGTAGGGAGAAGTGTCTAAAATCCAGTGATAAAAGCAAACTTGAGAAAAAAATCCATTACTGCTTGTACTGATATAATAGAATCAAACTTTACTTTGAAAGGGAAAAACAAGAAAAAATTAGTCAATTATTCATTTGGTTCAAAAAATACATTGTATGAAATTTTTAAGATGTCTCTTGAACTGAACTAAATTTTTTTTCTACTATCCAATCTGTATCCGTTTTTTAATCCTTAAAAAATGAATAAACAAAGAACTTGACTTAACTATCCTGATAAAATCATAAAACTTGGCATATCATTGTTAGTATCACACAATATTAATGCGATGAGATATAAAGATAATATTGAAAAAAATATTCAAAAATATTTTTATACATCAGCATGATTAGAACATTAACAATAAAAAATAATTTGTTGCAAATAGTACAGATAGATCTTCACATTTTTCGATGCGGATAGTGATTCAGAAAATTATCTTTTTGTCTGATGAGTATACTTATTTCTTCGTTTGTCTAGTGATGTAGGATAAAATTCATAAAGTTACCTGTGTTTCTTGAGCATGAAGTTTTAAATTTAATTTCCCTACTTACTAAGATGTCGAAGAAAATTCAACCAAAAGATCGTGTATTTTGAAATCAGATGGTACCATCTTTAACAAAGAGTATTTTTTGTCTCAACGACTAAATGTAATCTTTCCAAACTCTTTGATGTTTTCAAACTTCTATTACATTTTGTATTGTTATGACGATAGCTTCTGTTAGTGGAACATTTGTCACCAATAATACATTGTAAATCTACAATATTTTTCCCATAACTAACTACACATCAGGTTTTAGTTTGGAGGAGGTCTATGTTGCACTAGATTCATCTGCGTGATAGTATTAGAGTAAATGATACTAGATTCTGCGGAATTGTCTCCTCGTTCCGACACTTGTCTTTCATCTTAGGAAAGAAGTGCTGAGAGAAGAGACTCCAACCATCATCATCAAATGGATAAGTTCATTTCGTTTTGTTTCCCGAAGAAAATGAAAGGAGGAGGCCCGTCAGAACCCTTGAGTGCTTTCACTGCCGGCGGATTGAGCGCAGCAGGACGTTCATGAAGCTGACCGAGCGCAGGCTTTCGCCCGGCGCGGCCAGCAGTTTTCGCGCACTGGCACCCAAGCCTCTGCTCATCGTCCGGGTCAAGGAACTTGACTATGATAGTGATCACAGATCAAGATGTACGTACTATAGAACAGATCCTGTTCAAGTATAGTCGTGGCAGACCTCCTCCAACTTCGTGTATAAATACTCTGCAGGTCAAACGACGCAGCCCTTAGGGTCTTAAACAAACCCACCTCCCGCACATGGCACCCCTCAACTCACCTTTGTTTCACTGTTCATCGCGAAGTGACGAAATCGCGAGTGAGCCGGACCTGCCACACATCTCCTTCTGTTCGCAAGTTCAATTCGCCCGTTGAGCACATGGAATCCCTGCTTTAGCTTGCACGCAGAGCGCGATTTGCCATTCACTCTCTCTTGGTTCGACAGAAGTGTCAGCACGCCGGCGCTTCCACTTCGTCGGGAGTGAAATCCCCGGGAGAATATCAGCGCTCGTTGATTTTGCACACTCGCAGTTCCCTTCCCGCTGCGCAGACGACTCTCCCATTTCAGTCGCTTGTCACACCACGCAGACACGGAGAGCGCAGCACAGGGCCATCACGGCTTCACCAGAATCACCGCCAAGACAAACTCTGCTTATTTCAATACAATCTAGCTGCACTACCCAGGATTGGTTGCTGACGGACGAAATTGACCTCTACAGAGAATACTATGCCATCGAGCCACTAGACGAGCCTTTCTGGCCGAGAAAACACAGGTCACACAAGCACTCTGCCACACACTCTCCAGAAGTATCGGCGTCGTCAATTTTGTTTCGCACCTTTCAGTTACTGCTCTGTGGTAGTTCTACATTCCCATTTGGCAGGAAGCATTCAGACCACTTCTCCTTATTCTCTGCGGCTGCCTCGAGACATTAGACTCAAGTGCAGCAGGTTGCTTGGGTATATGGAGGATGCTCCCTCACGATTGCAGCAGTCTGGTCTCCTTGCTTTGGAGTTTTCTGAATTGAGTATACTTGTGAGGAACTTACAGCTGTAGGTAATAACAAATTCTTTCACAAATCCCCTCATAATTTAGCATTACTCGCCGTCCTTGGACTCTAGACAGTAACACAACATCAACAGATAATTTTCCGGTTGTCCCCAGCTATTAATTTGTACACACTGGAGGGAGGACTATGAGGCACTTAAAGCACATAAAATTCTCAAGTAGCTTCATCCTACAGGGCACTTACATGAAAACTTCACTCAAGTTTTGTAGGAAAAAATTGTCTACACTAATTTAGTCGCACAATTGACCCAAGTGGGTTGGAAGAGGCTAGCCTCTGATAGCATACCATGATCCACCTGTAAGTCGTACACTTAGACTTTATTCGACGTAACACTCGTTTATCGTACATTTGTAGCTCACATAGACAAAATATGTCTTGCAACCTACGTTGTAAGTCAACCTTTTGAATTAGCTCCTCATCTCTGAATAATTTAGAATGGATGCACTACTTTATCTTGAGGACTTTTCCTTCGGAACTGTACAGAAATTCAAAACTTGAAGTTTCGTTTCACTTCCAGAGTGTTTCTCGTTTCCTCGCTAGGTTCAGAGACCCTTCAGATTATGGTGAAGGCAACAAATGCGCGAGATAAGACTTCATTAATTGAAGAATTAGTCTGTTTCCGCCCTGGAGTATCTTTGCTGGAAAAGATGCGATAGTTGTCATTCTTCCACTGTTTGAGTTACATTGAGATAAGAAACTCGTAGAGACACTCGACCAATGCAACAAAGACTAATTTAACAATTTTTTCTTGTCCTAGGCGCGACATAGACCCTTTAGTTCTGAGTAATCTGTCCGCTCTATACACGCCGCTCCATCAGCCCATAAACAAAACATGGTGGTCCCTTGACCACCATGTTTCGTTAATGAGCTGATGAAAGTGACAGTCGATTTTCGTCTAACTCGCACTCAGTATAATGCTTGACAATATTTTAACCTAGCAACTTTGAGACACTATACTCAACCGCTGTATGGTTTCCTGACATTGTTCCTCTTAATTAGGTGCATAAGCAGAAAATGTTCCCTACATGCAACGAGACAGAATACTGCTCAATACTGAAGCAAATTTCACGGAGCACGTTGTTGCTTACTGTGAAAGGAATGATTCTGCCAATTTTCCTATAAAAAAAAGGTCTGTACATAAAGGAGCTGTGTTACAGCAGAGAATCAAGCCACAGCGAATGGGCTCTGGCCTGGGGAATAGGCCGACTTAGCCCACGGTGTATCGATGCGGATGTTCGTAGGTGGGGAAGGTACATGTTCCCAGATTTGTTCTGAGACATTATAACCAACGATCTCCACCTTTAACTTAGAAGCATTACTCCAACTACAAATGTAGATGTGATTGTCATCCGACACCAGAGTTCTAGACGTACCTCGGAAGATATCAAATGGACTCCGGGACACCTCTTCAAGCTCCAGGGTCTCCAGACAAACGCTGTGGATACATGCTCGATACCGAAGACGTAAGGATTTTATAAATTTCCTTGCATTCCAAAAAGAGATTCCCTCGAAATCTTCTTCTATGTCCGTCTCCACTTCTGGTTCCTCTGTGATAACTACCAACATAAGTTTGGTGCCACAAAGAAGCAAACCAGCCATAACGAATTTCTTGTTCTCCACCGGAATGGAATTAGGAGACAACGCCCAAACATTTTCCTCCGTATTGTACTTGTATAGCATCACATGTGCAGGAAGTAAGAGGTCAAAAATTCCGCATGGTCCCTTCCTTTCTTCTGGGCCCACACAGTACATGTTCCCACCGATATGTACAGAATACGTTGACAAGCTAAAATCCCCGTCCATCACCCGAACATTATAAGAAGAGGATTTGCTAGTCCAAGTTCGTGAAACAGAGTCGAAGATGTGAATCTCCAGTTGAACACCGTTGAGATACATCTCAGCACACGATCTGGCTCTGTTCGAATCGTAAACCAGAAGTTTGTAGTCAGCCGATCCCGGCTCATTTATCAGGAGAACCTGCGGGTTGCAGGACAACTCTAGCTCCAATGGAGACACTGTGGTCTTCCAGCTTCCCGTTTGTATGTTCGCCACTAAAATTGCGAGGAGCGATTGACCCATGTCAGTAAATGGCATATGTACATCGTACGTACAGAAAAGTGAACCTCCAAATTCTATCCTCCTGCCGGTGGCGCAGTCCGAATGAAAGCGATCCATAGGGATGTATGCACTCATGGGAACATTTTCCCAGTTGGTCGTGTTTTGATTGTAGCCCAAGAGATCTCCTTCAGAAGTCATGAAGATGGGGCAGAAAGTGGGCCATCTACAGGCGGCGATGCTGAGTTCATACAGAAACGGAGACTGGAGTTGCTCTGCACGCAGAGAAGCGAGGGAAAACTTCCGACGCCAGGACCTACACAGGGTCCGCCCTTTGAACACATCAGGAAAAGGAGCAAGAGCGATGATTTTCTCTATCAGTTCCATTGGTAAGTTCCATCCGGAATCATCCTCTTCACCCGTGTCTCTTTGATGCTTTCTCTTCAACCTCCTCCTTTCCAGCTCCTTCCGCAAAAGCCTGTACCACGACTTGTGCATGACGCTGACATCTCCACGGATCAGCACGCCGTTCGCCATGATTTGGGAACAGCCAATTCCGAAATCAAGCAAGAAAAACCCACCTCCGCAATATCGATAGCGAACGAGATTTTCACCCTCCACTCCAGGAGTGTTTCATAATTTCATATTCCCAGTAGCCACAAAGAATACTCCGAAACGCCCGAGCCCTGTTGATTCCGTCCCAGTCCTTATGACACCAATCCACGAATTCGCAAACACCCACTGACTCGGTCCAATTCGGCTTCCTCAAAATTCCAGCTTTCTCATTCTGCACCTGTAAAAAACCTCGATCCCTTCAACCACGCTGGAGAATATTGTCGACCCTGATTCTGCACAAGCCAACACAATCAAACGCATCCTCAGTGACAGTCACGTCAAAATGTGAGCCACGTGAAACTCCGGCAAACCCCGGGGCTCCTACATCCAGTGAGAGCAACCACGGCGCTGGCAACGAGTCACGGGAGCCGAGAGACGATGCGGTCACTGCCTGGGCTTCCGACAGTAGTGCTCATATCAAACTCCTCCCATGACCAAGCAAAGGAAACGTCCCAAATCAGCGCTCCATCGCTCCGTCTGAAATACAGAGTGCAATCCCAGCAGCGAAGAAGGCGGGAAGGCCAGCTGAGCATTCCAGCGTGTGGCCAAAACCCTAGACACTTCGTCCGTGAGCGGGATTTAATTTCCATTAGCTTGCACGGTCGGTACCTCAGACTGTAGTAGCCAAGCAGCAGCACCGTGTAGTGACCAGCACCGTGTAGTGACCTCCTAAATCATTTGTCCATGCGCGTCAATACTTATTATTCGCCAATGTGGTAAGAACTAAACATGCAATTCAGGTATATAAAAGAAATATTGAACTCTAAGCAATAATGTATAGTGAACTTCTCTAGTTTTGTGTTGTGTGCACACCCTGGCTACTCATCAAACGGAGCCATCAAACGCGAGTGTGTTTTCTGCAGTTTTCACTCGAAGATACAAAAGCCGAATGTCCGCAGGGAAACACAATAGATTCTTAATTGCTTAATCTTGTCCCCAGCATGGGCTACCTATTCATTAGTGCTCTACACACCGCGAGTTTTCACTCAAAGCTTTATTCATTTTATTGTCCCTTCCATCTCATATTTGCATCTTCATATAACACATCTCAAAGATTCAAATTTCAGTATTCTTCGAATTTCTTTTATAGAAATATGTATTATACAAGGGCCTTGTGAAGATAGTAATGCCTGACACTTTAGAAATAAATATACTTCTTAAGGAAATGTTTTTTTCCCTACAGTTATATTGATATATGCGCATCATGACTAACCTTCAATATTATTATTTTTTTAGTTTAAGCTTACAATAAAAACATAGCTAATGAAACAATAGATTTCATTGGCATATATCCAGGAAAGAGAAAAAAACTTTTAAAATTCCTAACTTGCGTGCAGTCCTATTTTACTGTAAATGGCAGGTAGTACCAAGTTTTCATTTAATACAAATACAAAAAAAAATTTTGATAACGACTTTTCATAAGCTTCAGGTAGTTAAAACTTTGATTCAAAGACAAAAAAGTTTACTAATAAGGATATCAATCTCTTGATATAATTGATTAGAATATAAAAAGTATAAAACATGTTGATAATTTTTGTCTATATCCAAAGAATAAACATATATATGTGAAATATAGATGTTTATAAATATATTATACCTTAATAATGATAGAAAAAAAGTCAAATATAGTACTCTAGTGATACTTGTTGAGGTTAACTCTTGTTAAGGAGCAACCTTGTTCCTACCTAACTTTAGCTTGGAAGAATCGTCAGATCTTGGAGTATTTAAGCTCAGAACCTCTTAATTATATTCTCACCTTTTAACCACTTACAGCACATTCTCTCCCGTGAGATTTGCCTGTTGTGAATGTAGCTATTAGAAGGATGAATCAGGTCACCTTTTGCGTCGACTCTTGTTAACTCTTGTTGTGCAATACACTCTTCCTTGAGGTTTTCCTGTTGTGAACTTAATCCTTAGAAGTAAAGAACAATGTTTTCTTTTGAGTCTACTCTTTTTTACTTTTGTTGTGATTTTTTGTCACTTTGTGTGGTCACTCGATACTTGTTTGAGGTGTAAATAATTGATATCAAAGCTTGCATTTTTTTGAAAACTTTTCTAACTAAACCGTTGTTGTCCGAGGCTATTTTTCCTAGCATGAGGGTACAATGTTGCGTTCTTGTCGTGGTCTTGTACTTGGAAAACTTGAAATGCAGGTGATGTCAAAAAGTGCAGTTTCTGAACTCTGTAGCTCAAGAAATCGGATCATTACAACGACAACATTTAGAGTTTAATCTAATAGTCATAGGATGACAGAATGTATCGTAAATTTCTACATTCTTATATTGGACTTCGACAAAAAGATAAAGTGAACTGTGAGAAAAAATTTAGTAGTAGAAGTAAGTAGGTTGTTGGAAAATTTGGCCGCTCGAGTTGAGGCGCTTGGAAAATTTCAAATCTATCAATAAAAATTGATTTTTGAAACAAACTGCCAAACGTCGAGAAGAGCAACAACATTGAGGGGAGAAATTTGAACTGATGGACAAAAACTATTGAAATTCAAGATGAGGCTTGAATTTAGATACCAAGATCACATTCATGCTTTAGGTGATCTGGTGATAGATCTTCAAAGTATGGGGAAAGAGATTTTCAATGCAAAGAATACTTTATATCTTCTCAACTCGCTGCCATCATCTGCCACCAGACACTATCTAGCATATTTTTACATTGTGATATAAATCCTATCATTTACAAACTCGTTGTAAGTGCTTTCTTGGCGGACGAGATGGAATAGGATATGATGTCATCATCTCGTCTATTCATTTTCGATACCGTATCAATTGTGATATGAGGTCAGTCACGCTTGAGAAGTACAGACGATTGACGGAGTTTTAGATCCAAGAGTATGGTATCAAGACTCATGAGTACTAGCTTTGAGAAAAAGAGAACTAAGTCAAGGGGTATATCATCTTAGAAAAGGATGATGATTTGTTGGAAATATGACAGAGTAATCACGTCAAGAAGGATTGTTTGGTGAAGATCAAAGATGCAATTTTTACTTTAATGTTGAATGTTACATTGTATTTCAACACCAAGGAGTACGATCTGTTCGAAAACGGTGTATGATATCAGAGTTATGAACTCTGAATTTCATCAGAGTATGTTGATGACATATGGATGTTGGACAATGCTAATTCTTATGAAATTTACTACATTAGAAAAATCTTTTGTATTTTTTAAAGATCAAAGGCTCATTTTTTATGAAGAATGATGAATCCTATAGGATTAAAGGTGTTAGATATGTGAATATTCACATGTTTGATGGGATCAAGCATATGTTAGTCCAAGTTAGTTATTTCCTAACATGAAAAAAAAATTGATATCATTAAGACGGTCAGATTCACACGACCTAGAGTAGAGCTCTAAAATAGACGTTTTAGATGTTAGATCATGTGATGAAATTATCCTTCGATGATACAGGCAAAATAATTTATATTTGTTAGATTTCACCACAATTTGTGAGGAAGTCTCAGTTTATCAGATCTTGAGTTGAGATGTGTCATGTATGAAGTTCTAGACTAGGTTATATGAAAGATAGGTACATGTTTCTTCTTTATAATATAAATGTGCTACTCGGTTTGGATAAAGTTGACTTAGCATATTGTAAGCATTGTATCATGGACAAACAATACTTTTGATGTTGAAACACATAGTTTCAAGAAAAAAATAGAGTATATACATGATGACGTGTGAATATATTTTTTTCTTGTCTCACTCTCTAGAAAATTGTACTATGTATCATATATAGATGATTACTCCAAATACATGTAGGTGTATTTTTTTAACCACAAATCTAAGATGTTTCAAACTTTCAAAAGTTTGTGGGTTCCAAGTTCTCATCCAAGACCGGTCAAAGGATGAGATATCTACGCACTAAGTAATGATGTGAAATATATTTTTGAGGAGTTTCATAGTTATTACAAATCAAAGCTGATTACTTGTCTCACCATGGTTCATACTTTGCAACATAACGTTTTTTTGAGACCTTTGATCAAAAATTGTTGAAAAAGTACGGAATATGTTGAACCAATCATGTTTACCATGTGAAGTTTGGATCAAAGTTGTCAACACCGTAATGTATTTGGTATCATTTTCTACTTCAAATGCGATCATTTTTTAACTCCGTTTAAATTGAGACACAAACAGATGACTCGTTATACTCGTTTAAGAGTTTTGGTTGTAGTAGTTATACTTTCACATCCAATGAGCATAGGAATAACTTAGATCCTACATCCAAAATGCATAGTTTTTTTAGATACAATGTAATACTAGAGTTTAGAGAGAAGTTCATGCGAAAATGAGACATCAACTCTCAAAATGAAATACCTTGAATTTTTCTCTTTTTCCTTATCTAAATATGCAGATATACCGAAAGAACACACGGATTGCTGATGAAACATAAACTCTGAAAATGAGATATCTTGAATGGTTCTCCTCTTTTTTACATAGATTTGCGGGTATATCCAAAGAATATACGGATTGTTGATGAAATATAAATTCTGACAATAAGATATCTTGAATCGTTATACTCTTTCTTATATAGATATGAGGTTAATCCTAAAGAATATACGGATTGTTGATGAAACATAAATTCTGAAAATGAAATATCTTGAATGTTTCTACTCTTTCTTAGATAGATATGCGGATATACCTAAAAAACACAATGATTGCTGACATGTTGTTCTCAACTAACACACCAATGAGCACATTTAATGTTTATCTAAGAAGCACACGGATTGACGACATGACATTATAGATAGTCAAGTTCATTTACTCTACTCAATCTAGAATAATCTCTATTTTAGTTCTAAATATTTAAAGATGGTTCTATATACTAGTGGTGTGAAGTATTACAGATTATAGGATCCAATAGTCCGTATGATTATTCTTAGTAAAGATGTTTATTTCAATAAGCATAGCTTATTGAAAACTAATGAGAATTTACAAGCTTTATTTATTGACAAAGAAAAATTTCTACTCACAGATGTTATTGTGAAAGAGTTTGATCATTATGTGGCTTATGAAATGCAACAAACATTGAAGCAAGATATTGAATAACAAAAACTAGAAAAGTAGATTATCGTTGATGAGATTCTTGTATCTGCACTAGATGATAAATAGCAATCAAAATTTTCTTCTAGAAGATCATCAAATCATGCTAGTAAAGCTCCTGAAAGTTATGATATATGGACCAACTCATCCATTTTTGAAAATTGTGACGTTGATATAGAGGATGGGAATGATTTTGAGTTGATTTTAGTAGAAAATGAAACTTTTCCATATAGTTAAGCTCAAACTTTTATATATAAACTTGCTGCTATGCAACTGGAGATGTAATTGCTATTTGACAACAAGATTTAGAAGCTAGTTGAGCTTCATATGAATTAGACGTTCATTGATTCCAAATGAATTTACAAGTTGAAAGACAATCCAGCAAGAAACCACATGAAAATATTCAAAGCCATGTTGATGCCTAGAAGTTTCACACATACGCAGTGAAGTTTGTGGCTTATAACACATTCTCATCACCTATAGCAAAGTATGCTACAATTCGTATGGTATATGCAAAACGATAATTAACTTTGTTATCAACCATATAGATGGAATTTTCTATAGATATTTAAAGTTGTAGATCTACATGAGAAAACATTTTGGCTTGAAGATGAAAGAAAAGTATAAGTTGATTTGTAGATTATTAAAATTACTCTATGAACTGAAACAAACTTCTAGGTAGTGGAAGAAGCAATTTGATGAGTTCATGAAATTACAAGATTTTTTAAATTATGTGTATGATCTTTATGTTGACATGAAGACGGTGATGAATGATGAAACTTTCAATTTTATAATTAGAACTCTATGTTGATGAAATGCTCATTTTGGCAAATAACCAACGTGATGTTGATAAATGCAGCAATCAATTGAGATGAAGGATATAGAGGAGTCAAAAACTATATTAGGCATGTATATTCATAAGGTTTTAAGAAAATGTCTATGGTTGATTCAAGACAAGTATGTTGATTGTATACTTGACAAATTTAACATGGTTGATTTTAAATGAATGTTGATTCCTTTGACAACACATTTCAGAATTTTCCAGCTCAACATCTTACCGATACCATTGAGATAATATGAATGTCTTGCTTTCTCTATAAACAATCTGTCATAGATCTTATTTATTTGGTAATATGCATTACATTTGATATTGCTCTAACTTTATAGAAAGTGAAGAATTAAATATGAGAAACAATAACATTTGAAGAGTGATATGATCATTATTTATTGTTTGATGATTTAACGTAAATTGACAAATTTTTGCTCGGATAGATTGATATTGATTATGGACGGTATATGTAAAAGAATAGATATACAACTCTACTTAGATTAGAATTAAATATTAAATGATATGAATGAAAGATATATTTCTTATTTGAATATTTCTTTTATACTGCAACCAATATTCATTACACTTTAGAGTTTCTTTTGATTACACCAACCAATAAATTATATATTTCATTTGGGTAAATGAAGAAAAAAAACAACACCTTTGGCAGCTATGCTAGCTCTAAATGGTAATTCATTGTTGTTCCTCTGAGTCCATGATCTGACTCTTGGTGTAAGGAGTGTACTGAAACTCCACGAAAATCCTGTGAAGCATCTTTTTACGAAACCAGCTCTTCGTCTCGACGTCAATCTCCTTATCGTAACTTACCATCCTGTGATAGTATGAGAAACTCTCTGTGTAGCAAGTTTCTACGATAATCTTTCGAGGTAGCCCACTCAAAACAGCGAGCAAAATCATATTGCACTGTTCTTCACTGTCAACAGCATAGTAGAGACTGTGTAAACTCTTGACAAAGATGGTCCGAGTTTTGCTCTCATAGACCCACCAGCCAAAAACCTCACATGTCATCGCTTGGATCAGGCGTTCCTGAATATCAACGGGTGCATCTCTGTAGAAGCCAAGAACGTCCATTGGAATCTACCAGTGCTCGTTGGTTGCTTCACTTACGTTGACCAGACAGGTGATTATCTGAAATCAAACATCGGTTAGAAATGTGCACATCACATGAATAGGATGATATAATCATGATGGTTCACTTGAGAACGTTCCTCTATACCAGCATTGAACTTTTCCAATGATCAGTATTGCAAAGTGATCAGCGAAGATCAAAATTCCGCAAAAGAGTCTTATCTCACGAGATTATGAGATGAAAGTTACTCTCTTTCCATAAATATAGTTGGTCTTATACTAACAATGTCATACTAAAAGCACTACGTCTTGTAGGAAGAATCATAAAATTTTAACATCATCATCTATCGAACATGTTGGAAATAAACTCGCATCTGAATTTCGAATACAAGAGCAGAAGGACTATGGAAATCACATCTATGGATGAAAGATTTTCCGAAAATTTTAAAGCAGAAGAATTGTGGTGATAGAACTAGCAAATCAAACCTTCACCTTACATTGGAGAAGATATTTGAGCGTTCGAAACTTATTCACAATTGATCGACGTCCGCAAGAAATTTCAACTGGATGCAGCTTCTCAATCACCAGTAATCTGCATATGGGCAGTATAAAAACGTTCATTTCATTAACTCTCTTCGAATCTATGAAGGAACAATCCTCACATAATTTTATACATTTGTTCCTATTTTCTGCTGATAGGTTGAATGAAATGTCCTGATATGTTCATTTTCATTTCATGGCTTTAATTTCCTGATAAAATGCCAGGCAGTTTCTCAATGCAAATCCATTGACCATGATCTGAACTGAAATATGTCAGCATGTAGTAGAGTAAATATAGAAAGTGAACTTGGAAATCTTTCTCTTCAAATTGAGCTTCGAGAACGTGAAATGTGTCATAACTAACCCGGTACTTCTGCAGAAGAAAGAGCTTCAAAAGTTCTGGTTCTGTCCACAACACACTGCAGTTTCTGTTTCCTTACTCAAGAAAAACAGAGGTCAATATAGTATCGATGATGTGTGATGAATATTCTGCACATTTGCCGCCAATACATTCTCTCATGCAACTTCTGAGCCTCTGAAAAGCTAATGGTCTGATCTTCTCGAAGAGTAAATCACATGAATACATAAGAACTCTGCTATCCTCACCGTTGATACTTTTCTAGTTCAGTCTGATGGTAGATTCTACTTGATTAAGTACTGCTACCAACAGCGGATCGATGAGCGGATTTTGAGAACTGGTGATGCCCCCTTTTATGAAGAGCCCGCTAAGAACTCTTGTTATAGTCTAGCTCTATCAGTGGCAACAGTCCCTTTCAAAGCACATATTCATCTGGCCGATCTGGACCTCCGTCCCACTGGACCCACGTCCCTCGTACCTAATACCAAAGACCAATACGTTTGCTCGAAAATGAATCAGCTACCACATCCGAAGAGCTTGGGATGCATGTAACAGCGTACTTTCGGTCTCGTTTCTGTTCCTACTCATTGAACTCATAGCACGTAGGTACCTACCATGCATATACGTAAATCATCTATATAGATTAAGATCTCGTGATGTGTTGCGAGTCATGCAAGAATACGAGAACTAGAATGTAATTTCGTATTGTAGAGAAGGAAATGGTTTATGCACATAGTGCTCTATTAAATCTTATAACAACTTATCAAACAACTTAGATTGGAAATCAATTATCTACCATGTAAATAGCAATTTTTTTTCTAGCACAAGTTTGTCACTATATTCGTTGGAACTTATACCAAACACTAGACATTCTCAGACTGGCATCATTTATTCTCTGTTGTATGAACCTGTTGATTAATATCATGAATGTAACCGATTTTCTAATAAATATGCTTCTGTTTATATGAACACATATGTTCCGAAATCCTTAACATGAGAACTAACTGCAGATTGGAATCCAAGAGGAAATCTTAGACCTCAGATCTTTTCGTATAGAAAGTCCGCCGCTCAGATGAATGGAAATGGCATGGTAGAAATCTCGTAAGTGATCTGACATCTGATGTCGTTTGTGACTTGAAAGGGAATCCTTCCCTTCCTATCTCGTCAGTCTTTATTTTCTTCACAGCGCTATTCTGATATACCTCCTGACGTAACTCTTTGTCCCGCTATATAGAGACGTGCACACATGTTGCAGTTGGCCCCGTCCTACTCAGTGTTCTTCTACTAACTGGCCAAGAAGTGAGTAGTCTCCTGATACACGAAGATGAAGAGTGTGTTCATTTTGTTCACTTCTCTTGCTGGCTTCTGGATTAGTTGACGCAATTAATAATACGTAAATCACAATAATAATCAGCGATGGGACCAGCTGGAAGTTTTTCAGTCGGCTCATCTCCCGAAACCTACGGTGAGCTGCAGCGTCTGAGCGTAATGCAGATACTGCTTCTCCAAGAACGAAGGTCCGATAACTCATTAGTTGCGTATTGGGTCCTAGTTGGTTAGCCTGAATATTTTTCTTATTTGAATCAAACAAAGTTTGACTAAACCTGTTACTGATTTCTGGGTCGTCATGTGTTCAGAAGGTGATCCATACGCCAGTGACGTTATAGATGTGAACATCAATCTCTAGGTGCAAGGCAATCGTGTTCCTACAGTTCACTCTGTCGAATAGGTAGTGCCCGCAGTGTCGTGAAGCAGACAAGAAGCATGTGGTCATTTCCTATGGAGCCCTTGATGTTGCAGAAGGGTCGGGATTTGTAAGCATCGACTGAAAATGACCTTCCACATCGTGTAGAAAATCACTTTCTCGATGAACATTTATAAATATAGAATTTTATCACAACTGCTTGTCACGAAAATTCGATGTAATTCCAGAAATTTGAAGTCAAGCACTCACGTGATTGTTTATGTGAGAACTTTTGAATAGTTACGTAGAGAGAACGGTACGACCAATTGACAACTTCTTGATGGAGAAACATAATTTGGAAATTAATTTTGCCGTGTGGAATTAAACATATCGTCTTCTACTCCGACCACATGACCTCTAAAGGTTGGTGTGAAGAGATGAATATAGGCGGGATAAAGGAAACATTATTTGATTGAACATCTGTGGCAGTCAACCTTTGGCAGTCATCAAATTCTCCATTTGTGACATTGAGAGCATGCAGATCCAAAATTCTACGTCCTCAAAAGAAGCTCGGGACGTTCTAACACGTAAAGTACGAGATACTTGCAAGTACAATGTCTTACGTGGTAAAATGCAGTTGCAAAACCAACACAGATTTATCACCATCCAAGTCACTATCACCATCAAGGTTTAAGAGAACGACATATCTTCCCAGTGGAGGACTACGAGTTCGTCGGCGTACGGGATGAAAGAGAGCTCTGTGTGCCGTAGTTCGGTCGATTAAAGCCACAGACTGACGCCACCTTTCCTTTCCGTGTCATCAGATAAGTAACGACAATGAGAGAATGATCCCCAGAACAAAAGAAAACTACATCTCGTCATGTTCGATGGAAAAAAATCCGTAGTCAGGATAAGTGACATGTTGTAAATTTGTTACGTCTCTATTTTGAACTGAACTATCGATCTCATAATATTTCTAAAACAATTCTAATAAATCAAATCATAAAAACGAGGGTCTACGTACGCTCAAATCTACCTGCGTGTACAACAGTCCAAACTATAGACAACAAGAGTGACACGGAGGATTACTATGAATGAAGCATCATACCCCACTATAAGAGAAAGACCACAAAAGTCAACTCTTGTCGTCCGAGAGAAAAATCTTGACCTCACAAGCTAAACATAAGAAAAGTAGCTTGCCAACCAAAAAAGAAATACTAGTATTCAGGCAATCAAAAAGATTACTCGATCAACTGTCCAATCTTCGGGGATCTTAATCTCTACATTAAACTCTAGCATGTCACATCCATAAAACCAATGCCTCAATAATGAAGAGTTTAGATCTCTCTCTCTAGACACCCAAGCAGTTTTGGAGAAAAATCTTGATGTTACATTGTAGTGAGAAACTATGAGAGAGAACATTCATCTTTATATCTCTTTTGATACTTCTACAAATATTTTGAAAGAGTACTTTTTAACTTTTGGAACCACTTGTAATTTGAAAGTTCTCAGTGATATTTTTGTCTTTCTCAATTCTTTTTCCAATAAGAGTTTTTCCTCTACCGACGTTGGCATTATCGATTGTCTTTTATACTCGATCATTAAAAGCTCTCTTATCTCTACATTTGATATTCTGAAACCTCAATCACATTCAGATCATGCATCTCTTTTATTTACTCTCTTATTGTCAAAGTCAATTCTACATGATATTCTATTTTAGCTCCCCATGTTTCTTTAGATCCTAATAAGAAATAACTTTTATATGCTACATTTTCAAGACCTTTTGAATCACACCATATGGAGTCGTGATCCACATATAGCGAGTTTGCAAATAACGGAATTGCTCAAAAATATTGCTTCTAAATTCTTTATGTAACATAAGGATTGAAAAGCTAGGATTATTTCTTGTAATGGATGGTTTGATTTGATTGCAATCAACCGAGTGGGAGATTAGTTGATAAGACTTTGGATCTCCAAAGTCGGTTTATGACAAGACTTTACTATAGTGTTAGAGAATGTTGCTATATATGTTTTTCCTTCAACCTGATATCTATGGAAGATTATCCTTATTCACAAATCAGGAAGCAAGTACTTGGTGACAAACTATAGCACTATCATGGTGGAGAATGTTTTGGTCAAGTTGTTTCGAAAATTGGTGGAATCAAAGTTGAGCACATGGACTGAATCTCATCGAAAAAAACGCGGTTCCAAACAGGTGCTTGCCCTACATACAACATCATTGACCATATCTTGGACTTGAGTGTTTTATGGAAAAAATCTGAGAGTAAAAAAAAAAACTTTGTTTTGCGCCTTCATTCATTCCAAGAAAGCATTTAACACGTGAGATTTTATGGGAAAATTTGCAAGCCATTAGAGTACCACCGGATCTGCTAGCAACCGTGACTACTTGATATCATTTTGTTGGACCAAGATAAACACTTCTCAAACTGTTGAGGTTTTGAATATCATTGGAATGATTCAAGTGATTGTAATCAATATCCTACTCTATTTGAAATTTTCATAGATGACATAGAAGAGTGATTGAAATCATGTGATAGCGAACGTGTTTAACTTATAAACTTTGTCATCAATGCTTCATTGTATGCAAATGATATCATTTTGCTAGCATGTGATGTCATTAGTTTATATGAACATCTATACATTTTGACTAGGTTTTGTACCTAGAATGATATGAAGTTAAATATAGAAAAGTTTAAAGTTACGTTAGTGGACACTTCAATCCAAGTTCTTTTTTACAAAAAAAATTTATAATTGAAAGAAATGAAAAGTTATATATATCTAGACATTGATTTCTCTAATGATTATAATTGTACATTTTGCATGCAAAAGAGAGTAATATGTAATTACAAAGCTAATATTCATTGTTAAATTGGTGTAGATAGTGGTGTTTTTGAGTCTTAGTAAATTTTTATTCAAAAACTATTATATGAAATCAAATTGTAGTATTCTGATTGTAAAAGTACTAGTTGGAAGAGAGGGAAGAAAGTGAAAAATATCTGTCTACAAAAAAATTTGGCTGTAAGAAACCAAACTCCATATGTTATTCTTCTTGCAAAAACATGTTGTCTACCTCTAGAGGCTTAAGCTCTATACTTGACCATCACTTACATCAGAAGGGTGAGATGTATTGATACTTCTCGGCTTCCTCTTCAAGCTTTGTCTGCCACATGTTCCAACGAACGATTAGCAGATGTAACTTGGTCTTTGAGGTGGAATGTGACGGAACGTGATTGGAACTTGCAACCTATGTCACTACCCAAACGTCTACAGTATTTGCTTGTTTATTGTAAACAAGAATACTTATTTGCAGCGATCTATACCTCCGGACATCATACTATAATTCAACACAAGATTGCTCTTATAGATTTAGAATTGAGGAGTGATGTTGGTTTAATATTGATAGTAGTGAATATATTTGTTAGTGAATATTAAAAGTATGCATATGTTACTTGTACTAGGTACAAAAATATTAGACTTGCTCATAATATTGATGTGGAGAATTTTTATTTTTTATTATTGTTAGTATCTTTTGATTTAGGTTGTTATATTAATGACATCAAAAGTTAACGTTACAATGCTCTTGGCACTAGTTGGGATTGATCTTTAGGGTCTTTTTCCTTGTTTGTGGTTTTTCGCTTGTATTACGTTTTTCAACCTTTTAACACTTTTGTCCCCGTACTTGATAGATTTACCATTTACCATGTAAAATTTTCATGTTTTATAACTTGAAAGTTCCACTTGCATGTGTCTTTTGTGATTGATCTCGCAAATTATTTTAAGGTTACTTAGAAGTTGTGTCTAGTTCATCTACTATGTGACTCTTTTCTGCCCGGTACATAAGACTTTATCCTTGAAATAAATTTCTTATGTACAAATTTTGCGTCCTAGATTTCTTCAGGGAAAAACCTTGCTGTACTTAGCAATAATTAATAATGCAAATTTAGATTTGAAATGCAATTATGAACCCTATTAAGTTCTGCATGGCTGGAAAAAAGATACATGATGGAGTTCAAGTAACCTTGTGTTGAACGCAACAAACAAGCAAACGCCTACTACTTGTCGGTCCAAGATCCGTATATTCTTTCTGATGATTTGAAATTACCTGTATAATTTCTGAACTGCTGTCATCCTCGATGTACATCATGAAAATGTTCTGCCTAAAAACCCTTGAATATGTAAGTTACATTAAGGTTTTTCTTCAAGGCGTCAACTCAGCTTCTATCTTCATCACGTATAACAAGACGTGATGATGTTATAGATGTAGATGTCATGTGGTTGTTTGTTTCGCATGCTTGAAACAGCAAGGTCTCCTATCTTCATCACGTATAACAAGACGTGATGATGTTATAGATGTAGATGTCATGTGGTTGTTAGTTTCACATGCTTTGAACAGCAACCTCTCTGACACAGATTGGAAAACTTAAGAGTTTCTGCTTGAACTACGACCTGTCATGGATATGACATGTAATTTTCTTGGATAGCGCTGAAACTCAAATATCCGATCAGATCTGAAGCTCTAAGATCTCAAACTGAAATTTTATCTGCTCAGCCACTCACTCATAATTTCGATGTAGTTCATACCAAGAAGATGGAGTTCAGCACCCTCCACCATCCTTCGAGATCTAGACACAACGTTTGCATAAGTCATGAGATTTTGATTGCTAGGACAGTGCTATAAGCTATTAGTAGAAATGAAAAGAAATTCTGTGGATTTAAAATTCTGCGTTCATTATAGAAAATTCTACAGCATTGTCAAGGTGTTTATTGAAGATCCTTTGAGAAATGATAATGAGATTAAACTTGACATGGGCTACTGGATTTTAAGAATTAGGATTTTGGGTTATTTTGAAGTGGATGGGAATATTGGAAGACCCATAAAGCTATTAGCTATAAGTGACTCGTTACATCAATGTCAAAAATATTTCCCTCGGAAAATAAGAATATCATTTGATTATCTATTTGAAGTTCCATCATTCAATATAATATGGATCTTAATGAGATGAAGATATGAAATAAACTCCAGCAATGTGAGTCAGATTGTATCTTTACATGAAGATGATTAGAGCGCTATATTTGTGATTGTTGTACAAATCAGTTCAAGCTCTGAAATAAGAGTGTACATTGTTAACATGGTTTACTTGCATGACTTACAATCAGGATATTATTATCCAGATGCATAATTTGATACTTACGAAATGATGGTGATGAAAATCAATGGTAGCAACACTTCAATGGATATCACCAGACAAAGATCGAGAGTATGTAGTCACATGCATGCAAGCTATTTTGGAAGCAGTAGCTGATATGATTCTCGAGCAAACGTATTGGTTAAAGATACGAGGTAGGATATTGTTGGGACGGAGGCTCAGATTGAGCAGATGAGCGTGTGCTTTTAAAGCCTGTATTGCAACTGATAGAGCCAAACCATAACATGAATTCTTTGTGAGCTCTTTATGAAAGGAGGTATCACCTGTTATCAGAATCCTTCATCGATTTTGCTGTTGGTAGCACTTCTTAAGCATGTAGAATCTATTCTCAGAGCGAACTAGGACAGTGCAACTGTGAGGATAACAGAGTTACTACGTATTCATGAGCTTTTTGCGTCAACATGATATGCTCACCGGATCGTCAAAAGCTCACAAATTGCATGAGAATGTATTGGTGACACGTGCAGAATATTCATCACATTTTAGGTTCGATATGGTATTGAACTACTTTCTCTTGATTACGGAAGCAAGGACTGTGTTGTGTTGCGGACAGAACCAGGAAATATGAAGCATTTTCTACTGGAGACGTACAGGGTGAGTTCTGTCACATTTCACATTCTCTAAGCTCAAATTCGAAAGAAATTTCAGATAGTTCACTTTTTATATTTACTCGACGACATGCTCATATTCTCACAAGTTTCAATTTCGATGAGCCTGCATAGAGAGACTGCCTGGCATCGTATCAGGAAATTACAGCCGTGAAATGAAAGTGAACACATCATGGAATGTCATTGAACTCATGAGCAGAACTTGAGCAAAAGAATTTGAAAATATGCCAGGAATGTTCTTCATAGATTCCAAGAGAGTTAATGAGATGACCTTTCTGTTCTGTACGTCTGCAGACAACTGGTGATGGAGAAGCAGTATGTTTTTGAAACCTCTTACGGACGACGATCAACGGGGAATTACCTTCGAACTCTCATTTTTCTCATTGAAGGTGAGGCGAAGGCTTGATTTGCTGTTTCGATAAGGATTTGTGTAAAAGGAATGTGCTAATTGTGGACCCAGAGAAGTTATTACATAGATCTTCTGCTCTTGTATTCGAAATTCAGATGCTACTCAATTGGCAGCATGTCCAGTAGATGATAATGATGCTCAGAACTTATGAGGCTTCCTGCAAGACATGGTGCTTTTTGGTATGCATTGTCAGTATTACTGAAACCAGCAATGGTCATGGATTTATTCATTGGAGTAACTATCAAGTCTCATACTCCCGTCCTGTCGTCATATAGTACTCGTTTACAGAAGTTTAATTTCGGCCGATGATAAAATCGACCTGCAAAAGTTCAGCACTGGTATAGACGAATGTTTTCAAGTGCACCGTCATATTTGAATCATCCTATTCTGTATACAATTCTAACCGATGTCTGATTTCAGATAATCACCTGTCTGGTCGACCTTAGTGAAGCAACGATCGAGCAGTGGTAGATTCCAATGGACGTTCTTGGCTTCTATAGAGATGCACCCGTTGATATTCAGGAACGTTTGATCCAAGCGATGACATGTGAGGTTTTTGGCTGGTGGGTCTATGAGAGCAAAACCCGGACCATCATCGTCAAGAATTTACACAGTCTCTACAATGCGGTTGACTGTGAAGAACAGTGCAATCTGATTCTGCTCTCCGTTTTGAGTGGGATACCTCGAAAGATTGTTGTAGAAACAAGCTACACCGAGAGCTTCTCACACTACCAGCGGATACTCAGTTACGAGAAGGAGATTGACGTCGAGACAAAGATCTGGTTCTGTAAGAAGATGCTTCACAGGATTCCCGTCGAGTTTGTGTACAATCCTCACGACGGCAGTCAAATCATGGACTCACAGGAGGAACAAAACTATACTCTGCATGATGAGGGAAGTTCTCAGAATTCATAAACATCGTATGTGATCAGACCACGGTGAGTACACCGAATTCAATCATCATCAGGCAAAGAGATGTGCTCATTTTTAGCTACCAATAAATCCAGTGTGGCCAACGTAGACGTTGACTCTAACTGGCAAACTCGAAGAAATACAACTCTTAACTCCTCGTCAGAAAAGTCTTGAAACTGTTTCTGTCTTGAACTGTATTGCTCTCCAATACTTTCTTCCTTTCCAGCTTAAGACTTGGAGTCGTGTTATTACGAATTATGTTCTTAAACAGGATGTGCATCAGATGGCAAATAAAAGCAACTCCGGTGGCTAAATTTATGCTTTTTCCTATACTCTTCTTATTCGAATCGTTACTCTCCAACGTGTGTACGTATTCTTAACCCTTCATGCAATAAAACCGTCCCTTAGAGTTAGTGTAACAATATATTTGTTAGAAAATTGGTGAGATCATGCGAAGTGTGTAATTGATTTGTTATTCCAGTCCATAAAAATTTCATATGTAGAACGGAGTTGTTCATGCATTGATGGAGAAATATTAGACCATAATAAATTTTTTATCAAAAGGACTAAGGCTCAGTAAAAAGATTTATTCCTTAAATGAAAATGTGTTACCAAGTAGTGTAATTAAGGTATATAGTTTGCGAACGTTTTTTTTTGGAATTCCACATGCTCAACTTATTTTGGGTGTTATCATCAGTGTCTCAAAAAAGTAATTATTGTCATCTTCATTGCTTTGACCATCATCTGTGTTGGTTTCAAGTACCCTCATTGTAGGGAAAATGTAAATCAGGTGTTAAAACTAGGGTTCAAGGTACTTTACTGTCTACAGAATACACTCATCACTTAGCTTGCTATTTTACAGTGCTACAAGAAAGTTGCACTCTCTTTTTAAAGGTATGTGAATTTCATTCACATAGCAGTATATTCTACGGGCTTCTTTGGAGCGTTGAGGCTTGTGTTTCCAAATATGTTACAACAATGCCATCTAGCATGAATTAGAAATGTTAACTTTGAAATGTGCTGTGATTTCTACCATTAGATTGAATTTAATGTTCCAAAATGATACAAACAGTTTTCAATTTTATGTATTATCTACGAAAAAATAATTGATGAGCATATCCACCAAATGAATTCAGTGCTATAACTAGATCACTGCTTTGTTTCACTAATTGTTTAGATGAATCTTCCTCACTTGCCCCAGGAATATTTGCTACAGACTATTGTTTGTTGTCTAATTGTTAACCTTGTTTAAATTGTCTGTTCACACTTCAAGCTTATTGTTTGTTGTTCAATTGTTGACCTTGTTGAAATTCTCCGTTCACACTTCAAGCTTATTGTTTGTTGTTCAATTACTGACCTTGTTGAAATTTTCCGTTCACACTTCAAGCTTATTGTTTGTTGTTCAATTGTTGACTTTGTGGAAATTCTCCGTTCACACTTCAAGCTTATTGTTTGTTGTTCAATTGCTTGTGGAAATTCTCCGTTCACACTTCAAGTTTCTTGTAATTGACCGCTCAGGAGAAGCTTACTTAATTGTTTTCTAAAAGCTTTGGTTACGTCAAAACCACTTACTCTATTAACTTAGCTCAGCTTAAGCCAGCATTATCCAAAATTATAGAAAAAACATAGGAAAGAACCATGAGACTCCATTCTTACACCTTAATACAGAAGAATTGGAGATTGCGAAATAAAGAAAAGCTCTTTGCAAATTGGTGGGTTTATATAGAAAGAGAATTCATTTACATGCATGAGGGCTAAAATTTAAATCAGTATCTAATCATGATTCCAAAAATCAAGACACCAAGTCATTTCAGTGAAAATGAAATCAATGTCTAACATTTATTTAATTATTCAGCCTATGCGAAAAACATTGTAAATAGAACGGTTTGTGTCTGCAACTATCCCCACATTTCTGTTGGGCCTAAGTGAAGAAGATAAAGTGTATTCTAGAGTTGTCTTTTATCACATAGTACCTTCTTTGGCAATTAAAGAAGATGGGATGTGGATTTCATCTTCACAACTTCGGACGGCCCATCATGGCTTGAGGTTTATAAGCGTATCGCATTCATTCGTTTTAAGGGTTGAGTACAGAGCTAGAAAAAATCCACACCCTTCTAGTCTATGTTGTCCTAACTCATTAAAATGCGATCAAATCCCACCTTAACTATGTTGTTGTAGTTGGTCAACTTGGTGTAAAAATAGGAAACAATATAGCCTTATTGATCATCCTCTCAACACCAAAAAAAAAAAATTAACACAAAAGAAGAGATCAGGAGAAGCTGGTATGGAATATGCAGGCTGAGGAATTGCAAGGACAGAATGGACATTTAAGTAGCTTCGCTATTTCTCTACTTGTGAGCAGCTTCTTGTAGGAGCTTCTGCGTCAAGACATGATAGTCACTCACGACAGTTTTGTGGAGAGACATGATGGTTAAACATTTCATTACTGAAAATTTCGATAATGGACGCGATGCTCGCACTGAACTTCCTAGAGCTCTGATTGTAAATTTATGTATGACCAAACATGCCGGGCTGGCTGTTTGAGCAACATAATTGAGTAAGAGATACGCGAGCATGGCCAAAACACAGTTCAATTCCTTTGAAGGATCCCAGAGTCATTCACCTCTCCACCTGCTCGGTAGACTTGCAATGTTTTGTAAGTACTACTGCTGCATCTATTGACTTACACGAATGGTAGCAATTCACAACATGATCTACTAGTGCTGAAATAATTTCACGAGGAATTTAGCTCAGCACAATAAGGAGACTACAGGATGTGAGTGCGGAAAAATCTGGTCTATATGGTAAGAGATCTCCTGGAGTGATTTTCAATGTGATGAACATAGAACTTTAAATTTACATCATTCCCTTTGTTCCAATATATCTCATTGCTCCTGATAGAGTATAACCACTGTCCTAGGAATCAATATCTCAGGAGTCTTCGCGACGTGATGACAACTGCATTTGCAGCAGGATCCAGGATCTAGAACAAACCTGCAGCAACCGTAATCTGTCCGTCTTTCGTGTAGTCACCAATCACAGAAGGTACCCAAGCAGCTAAATGTCAACACGAATATTCTGGATGGAGAAATTGCCTTCACTATCAGCTTTGGTCCATAACTGGTATCCCTGTTACACACACGACTCGAGATAGAGTCAGGAGGCAAAGCTGACTCTATCTCAATGATGACTCAAATATATTTGCAAGTATTTCCATCTATCGAGTTTGGCACCTTTCCCTCTTTCCCTCGATAATATGGAACAAATGAATGAAAACATGATTGCATGTGACTACAATAAATTTTACTTACAATTGGTCGACTGTGACAATCTACAAATGAAAATTTTGCTGAAAATTTATCTATAAATGCTGAAAATGTTGAGAAACTTCACAGGTGTGGAATAGAAACGAACATGAAGGAGAAACAGACATTAGACATTTCGAATAAACATCTGCAGGCTCATATGAAGATTTTGTATCTTTGAAGGTTGGAGGTGCTTCCTCTTCAGTACTTTCCATCGTCAAATTCATGAAGTCTACACTGTTGTCAATCTGCCGGGCGCGGGCGGACGGGGGCGGGCGGAACTCGGAGTAGATTTTACCCCACGAAGTTACAGTTCTGTAGGCAGCATCAAGGCAACGAAAGATGTCAGGTCAAGCGCAAAAGTATCATCTCTATCAAGTTTGAGGAGAAAAAGTGGAATACGGAAAGGCAACAAAAGGCCTCAAAAGCATGAAATGGAGCAGGCACCTAACGCTCACGAATATCAAGATGCAGCTGACAATATTAAGGAGTTCAAGGTCAAGTCCAAAGTTATTTTGAGTGATCATGAGTAGAATATGCTTGTGCTTAGTTTGAGTGTGCACCGAAGCAGGAACAAGCTTAGTGGAGAGAGTCGATTGAGGAGGGAGCGCGTCTTATCATACCTTACCCTTGCGCGCCCGGCCGGGTTCGAGACACCGTGAGAGGCCCAGCAGGAATCTAGACGCGTCCTAGCGATCTCCTTGTGCCCGTGGGGACAGTCTGCACTCAGAACGCGCGGCCTTTGAGGTCGAGAAGTTGCAAGGGCGCTTTGCCCTCCGAACGTGCTGAAATCTGACGCAGAGCACAAGACGACTCGAAGTCACAATACCGTGTAACCTCTCACTGGAACTGGCCCCTCACAAACACCACACAAGACTTGCGGCCCTCCTGCACAGTCAATCTACAACACACGGCGCACGCGAGTGGAAACGAGCGGAAGTTCTCGACAGCAAGATGCTCCAACCGAATCGACTGGAACTGGCCCCTCACCGGGCTGAGCTCATTTCGGAACTTGCATAACTTCAGTATCCGCCATGGCGAAGGTGGTTAGTCATTGAGAGCATGCGATACCATGCAGGGTATAAATTGTCGACACTCAAGCAAGAACTATGATTTTTGAAACTTGAGGTATTCAATTCCACTCAGGAACCCCGTAGATCATTACAAGCGTCCTCATGACCAACCTGCCGATTTGGAGGATGAGTATTAAATGGACTGAGGTTACCTGTTTTGGACAAAAAGGACCGAAATCAGTATCGGGACAAAAATCAGAACCATGAGTAGGAAGATAAATCTGCAACTTGCACTTGGATAGAAAGAAATGAAGCTATTCTTTGTATAAGAATGAGTTGATCTTTCCCTTTTTCTCCTTCTTAAGACTTCCAACTCAAGCACTGACCGTCAATACGAAGTTAGAATTAGCTTACAAGTTATCTGATCCATTGGCAACATTCCAGTTCATGTCACAGTACGTGTGAGAGAAGCGGCTCGTGATCAACGAGGAGGCAGTATACGTCTCTCAATGATGCTAAATGCTCTTAAATATAAGTATGTCGAGAAGATCAACTAGGATTGAAGATATCGAATCCAAAGAAGACAGGAGAGCACATACACACGGTCAGATTCTTTTAAGTATGCTTCCAAGACATTGTTCATTCCCCCATACTTGACTCCTGCAACCTTGTAATAACCCACTAAAGGCTAAAACTGCAATATAGTGGTAGAAAGGTCGAACCCACAGGGACAGAGGAACACACAGGGTACAAAGTGTCACGTTTAACAGACTATTGAAGAGTTTGAATTCTCAGGCGACTGTCACTCCCAGAAATACTGCAAGTGTCCACTCGAAGCGCACTCGGAGGTCGCACAGTGCAGCGTAACACACACACACACACACCTGAAACTACAAAAACACAACCCAGAGATCCGTTAGGACCTCTACTTCAAGATTTCAGGGGGAAGATCCCTCAAGAGTACACTCAGCGAAGCTGCGGGTAGTGACTCCCAACTCCGGCTTTTACAACACTTCCACTAGCTTGCTGCTAGCGTAGGAAACCCGGTTTGGACTGCCTACTTCGGATCGAAGTCACTCAT